TGTGTGTGTGTGTGTGTGTGTGTGTGTGTGTGTGTGAGTGTGTGTGTACGTGATGGAGTGTGCTGGGGCGTCCTCGGGAGGAGGACTAAGGTTGGGACAGACAGCCTGCAGGGTGCACCGGTGCCGTGGGGTGAGGAATGTGCGCCCGAGGGAGAAAGGGGGTGCAAGCAGCCAGCGAGTCAAGGGCAGATATGCAGGCGCCAAGAGCAGCCGAAGCTCGTGGGGATGGCAGCGGCACGAGTGCCCGCCATTGCTCTGCCCCCTCAGCGGCAGCCGGAAGCGGGGGCCGCTCGTGGTACGGCATTCCGCATTGCAACCCGAGAGGCGGATGTTATTTCCGCCGCCCAACGCATGAAATGCCAACCTTGATGGGGATATTGCCCAGGCACCAGGGGGCCGGGCTCTTGGGCCGCCTTCAAGGGGGAGACAAACGCCCACGACCTCTGGAGTTGGGCGATGGCTCAGGGGTGGAACGCCGAATGCCGTGGGTTTCAACGTGGGTGAAGGGGGCGGCAGCCATCGGCGGAAAAATCCGCCCTTCAAAGCAGGAAGAGGTTGTCCAACCTCAAGACCCCTTCCCCCCTCTGGCCGACATACTTCTCCCTTCTTTAGGGAGTTTCTTTCCTTCAGTCGGTTCTCATCCAAAGCATCTCTGGCGTGCTGCTGCCTGCCCTTTTGGAAGGAGACTCCTGGTTTGTTGCAAGGGGAGCATGGGTCTTTCGGTTCTTTCCCCAACTCAAAAACAAGACCGGTCTCGAGGCCTCGGGCTCCGTCTACCGGTTGAGGGCGGGAAACATCGCGTGGCGGTGCTTGCCTCCTCCCCCCCCCCCCCCCCCCAATCCCCCAAAGGATGGGACGAGGGAGGCATCTTGTCCCAAGGGGGCTCGTGTTGGTGCGCCCATAGTTCCGAAACCGCTGGCAATCATCATCGGCTGGCCAAGCCGGACAGTGGATACTCGCCCAACTCCTCTTACTCATTATACTCCCAGGCCTGTGCCTCCTGTCTTTTGAGGGGTGAGGCTCCGATCTTCATTGAGCCGTTGACTGCCTGGAAACTCGTTTGTGTGTGTGTGTGTGTGTGTGTGTGTGTGTGTGTGTGTGTGTGTGTGTGTGTGTGTGTGTGTGTGTGTGTGTGCATGTGCATGTGCATGTGGGTGTGCGTGTGCGTGTGCGTGTGCATGTGCGTATGCGTCTGTCTGAGTGGCCAAGTGTCGGGCGATTATGAAAGGCTGTCCGTCTCGGGGCCTCGCAACTCATAACGGTGTATGCCAGATTGGGCACCCTCTGGTTGGTGCAGCTGCGCCATGTTCGCGCTTCCACACTACATCGCTCCCCGACACTTGCCCCACTCGCCTGGTGGGCCTGCGGGAATGTGTTCTCCCAGCCTCCTGGCCCCTGCCCGCCCTCTTCCGCCGCGTGCCCCGCAAACAAACACACCTCATCAGGTGGGACGCATATATTCGACACGGGGGAACGGCGCACTGGCACGCAACTTCATTGGCCTCATCTATTGGCTCGGCTTCGCCTTGCCCTCCTTCCAAGAGAGTCTCCCCGAGGCAGATCCATCTGGCTTGGTGACATTAATACGATGACCGCATGCATGGCCTCAAAGGTGGATCTCGGTCTTTCTCACCTGGCAAAAAAAGCGAACAAGGCCTGCCCTATTGACAGGGACCCACAGGGTAAGAGGGATTCCCATGCAGCTCCGGAAGGTGGGCTTGTGTTGTCATCCGCTGAGAAGCGACCAATTCGCACGTCCTCCTTTGTCCGAGGCGTGGTCGGCCCTCGGGGGCTGATGCTCCTCTCCGAGCAGGTCCTAAGCACGACCCGACAATCCGGCTTCGACAGTGCCAGCTCCGCATTCGCCTTCTTCCTGGCCACAGGCAGATGTGTTGCCCAGATCCAACACTCACTCACTCACTCACACACACACACACACACACACACACACACACACACACACACACACACACACATGCAAACACACTGACCACATAAATGTGGATATATAAATGAGCTTCACGGACCTTTGTCGACAGGCCTGGAGCCACCCCCACATTCCCCTCCTCCCCCTCCCAGCCAATTCACTACTCGGCCATCTTCTCCCCTCTCCCCCTCTCAAATTGGAGATTCCGCTGCTTCCTTGGCGGCTCCTTTCGGACCAATGATCAAAGCCACCCTCCTGTTGATTGTCTTAGCCCTTGTGGCCCGGGCCTCTGGCACACAGGTTTCCAGCCCCCCTGACACTCCACGCGAAGTTTCCTCCTTCGCTAGCCTTTTCAAGACCACGGGCGGGGCCTCCGCCAAGAGCATCTGGCCCTACACCTACTTCTCACCCAGGGTGTTCGCTACCCAAGTCGGTGACAACAAGTTCAACGCCTCGCCTTGTCGAAAGAACGTCGAGTGGTTCCAGAGAGAGGCCTTGAACAATCCGTGCGAGAGGATGGCCATCTACGCCGCACAAATGTATGGCGATTGTATGGTAGAGACAGGAGACACTAATTCCGGGCGGCCAGTCGACCAGAAACACGCTCAAGAAGCTTGCCTGAAGCATACCATTGCCTACAGGGACTTTTGCCGCAAGTTTATGCCCGATTCGGTGGCTGCCAAGTACAACATAACCAGTGATAAGGTCCCCCATCGCTATCCGGCCCCCCCGGGACTTAAAACCTACCCGCCCAAGGGCTGCGACAATTTCACCCTCGCCAAGTTATCCCCCATCGTGCTGAACCACTGCGAAGAGGGCCCCATCCATGACACCTCCTGGGACTCCCTTTGCTTCAACAAGAAGTGCATCTCTGCCATGCGGGATCTCTACGTCTGTGGTCGCAACCGATTTGCCTTCATGCCGGACATTTGTCTCACGCTGGACGACATCCCTTCGTTCGAGCATATTTGTCCCAAGGACAGCTATGGCTACAAGATTTTCTCCAAGCTCGATTGCTCCGACTTCACCCACTTTCTGAAGTATCCCGAGGACTACTCATATCCCAGCGAGTAACGCGGGCGAGCGCCCCCGCCTTCGGAGAGAGAGAGCCCTGGCGTCTTGTTCCGGTCTCTCCAGCGCAGCAGACACCGCCGGGGAGAGTGCGTCGCTCGGGGATCTCTCGCCGGATCTCGCACTGTTCCCCCCTCTGCCCAGTGGTACCCAAAGCCAGACTCCCGTCCCGGACCTTCTCGCTCGAAAAAACCTCTTCCATCCTGCTGCTGCCCTTTTTTTCTCCCCACACCCGCCCCCTGGAGCAGAACTATGTCTCTTGGACCTCGTCGCCTCCTGGGACAGGCCCCGGGGATGATCCCACAATGCACGATCAGGCTCCAATGCCAGGACCCCCGGACTTTCCCTCCCATGCATGGTGTAGGCGGATTTCTGTCTTGCAACAGCTCCACAGCTGTCGAGCCTGCTCCTCACAGCCGCCCCCCCTCCAATACACCTTTTCCCTGCTGCTTCACGCCTCATGCTTTACGCTATCCCATGGTCCGGGTTCCTGCCAGTGCGGCGCATTAGTCCAGTGCATGCCAGCCCCCAGGCGGGGGGCTTGACGGCCGCAGGCCAGCCAATGGTACAGAAAGATGTTCCTCCTACTGCTTGAGCCCCCGGCAATCGCGTGCCCATATTGCATGTGGGCCTGCGCTCCCGGTCGCGGTTGCTAGTGTCACACTGAGGGATGTGGGTCCCCGGTTGTTCGATCATTTCGCTGGTAGCCGATTCGCGAGAATGATCCCCGGGCAGAGTGGGCTAAGCCCACAACCAAACGGCCGCCCGATTTTCCAACACAAAGCACGACTCCGATGGTGGCGAGGCGGCCCGCAAGACGGTCCTCCCCGGGCCGTGCAGGCGACCCCAGGACAACTCAGAGTGCCGGGTGTAGCTTTTTTCTTTTCTTTTTTTTTTTTGCAATCAATGCTGTGATGAGTGTCCCTTTTACGCATGGTCTGGCTTCTTTTGTGGTCGTCCTGTGGCAGCTTCGATCAAGAACCATTTGCAAAGACCCAGCCTGGTGTGTATGTATGTGTGTGTGTGTGGGGGGGGGGGGGCGGAGGGAGGGGGGCTCTTTGCTTGGAGGAGTGTCTGTCTCGCGCTCTCCTCTCCCCCCCTCTCCGCGTTTGGGGAGTGTTTCAGGACATGCCTCGTCACCAGTTGGACCATCAGCCATAGCAACAGCCCATCCGCGCCCGCCTTCTCCGGACCAACCAGGGCAATGCCAAGTTCAAACGCAAGCGGCCCTATTGGCGGCTTTACCATGCAGGTTTGTGCTTCCGTTGTCCGGAGCAGCATTCCCCGGCTCCACGGTTCGCGTGCGGCCGAAGCGAACAGGCGAAATACACAACGCACGGACACAGGGTCCAATCCCCGGTTAGCGGGTGGTGCTCACATGCGGCTGCACGACTGTTCCCAGGGCAAGAGCCTCCGTCTGAGGGCATGCTCAACGCTCAGGCACCACCCACCGCGCCCAGGGCCATCTCCCGTCTCCTCCATCCGCGCTCCAGCTTCACCTTCACCCCCTCGCGGCCCGGAAGTACAGCCTCGCCCGAGCGGCCTAAGTCGCCGTCAGAAGGGCGCCCGGCCTTTGGGGAGCCATCCACCGAGAACCACCTGCCCCGCCAGGGCGCTCGCTGCCTCGTCAGATACCAGCCCTCCTGCCCCTGCGAAAGGTCAGGACACCCCGGTCATATGTGCCCCACGTGCCCCGGCCAGTGGGCTCCCCAGGTCGGGAGAGGAGGATGAGCTGGAGCAAGCCCGGGAGATGTTCCGGACACTTGGTCGCCAAAGCGGCCCTCGGCCCGGCTCTAATCTCGGCCATGTCTTTCAACAAAGCCGCCGGAGGGCTTTCAGCCCCTTCCCGCCCACAATGTGCCGAGAGAGTCACTGCCAGAATGCCAGCATGCAGGAAGCAAGGCAAGGACAGGGGCCCGGCCACTTGCCATGTGCCCCTGGCGTCCCCCCGCGTGGAGAGGCCATGACGCTTCCGGCCAAAACCCCGGGCTCACGGAGCTCAGCTGGCTGATTGTCATCCGGGATGGAGGGTGGGGGGGAGCGGCATTTCGCGCAAGTGGGGGCCGCCTTTGGGCCCAAGGCGACGGGGGGAGGGAAAGGACACCCGGGAGCATTGCGGCACACGCCATCTCGATGTCGAGGCCCGGCCGATCGGGTGAAAGTAGCCCGGCAGCCTCGGCCAGCCGATCGGCCGAAGGGAATGCCCCGGCATTGGGCGGAGCTATGGTTGAGCAGCTGCCACTGAGCGAGGCTCTGCCTGCGTCCGAGGCCCGAGGGGCGCATGACGTTCGGGGGCACGAGGCATGCAGCATGGACACCAGTGCTGCGGGATCCTTCGCTCCGAGAGGCGTCCCCCTTGTCAGTGACATAGCTCACCGGCCTGCAGCTGCCCCGGCATTCGGCGACTAGTGCTTTGCCCCGGCGGGAGGGGCATTTTCTCCGAGTCCTCGCAGCGCATGTTCGATGGAGACTTGATCAGAAGGGGGGGGGGGAGGGATCACAAGAAGGATGCCCCTAGCCGGATCGGCGGTATGCGCAGTCGAAGAGGCAACAATCCGCGCATAAGCTTTGCCAGAGGCGGCAAAGGCATCGTGGCCTCGCCATATGCCGGATAGCGTGGCGCGAGTGGCCGGTCGAGAACAAGATTCTTGACACGCGAAACGGGCATCGGTCGGTCGGCCGGCCGGCCGGCTAGGCCAGGAGAGCACCGAGCGTCACCACCCGGCAATCGGCAATCCAGGGCGCCGCAAGTGACTGTTTCAGGCGGGGATATCCTGCGACAGGGGCCCCCTGCCCATGGGGAGCTGGCGCGGCAAGGCCGGGCAGCTGGATCGAGAGAGGAGGAAGGGCCGCGAAGAGGGGGAGCCACCACGTCGGACGAGGGTGATCCTCAACGATGCATTGCGCGGCACATTCGCAGCCTGTATACCCGCGCGAAATGGCCGGAGGCGGCTTGCCGCAAAGACCCGAAGTCAAAATGCAACTCAAGCCCCGGACATTGCCGCCGGCATGTTGACCAGAGAAGAGGGGTCAGCGCCTTGCCCGCCGATGAAGCATGGCCACCAGGTCGACAAGTGGCCAAGTCCACCAGAGGATGAGTCACAGTGGACCGGACGGGAGGGGGGGGGGGGAGGGCAAATAGCCAGGGGAGAAGCACAGACACAGATGACGCCTGGGGTCAGGTCGGGGAGTGGGACCTCAGGTATGGAGGAGACAAGCAAGGGCCAGCCTGGCGGTTGCTTTCGGACGAGAGGACCCGACGGGCCAAGAAAAGTGCACGGCGTCGGGGAATGCCCGCAGGTGTGGGCAGCAGCATGGGTTGGGCATTGCAGCGGGGGAAGACAAAGCCATCAGAGCGATCAAAGGAAAGCAAGCATTGTCTGGAGGAGAAGGGCTTGAGCAAGACCGGGGAGGTGCTGAAAGGGGGCCGCTCTTCGGGCGAGACACCGCAGCGGTCTCCCGGCCGGGCGGAGCTCGCACCCCCGGACCGACATCGGCCCTCGAGGCCATGTCCCACTCGCGGCCTTGTGTCCAAGACTCGACCATCCGTCGTGGGAAATGCCGGTGGCCCATTCTATCAAGGGCTTATCTACATAAAAAATGGTTTTAAAGCTGAGTTCTTCGTATAGTTTTGGAGAAACATTCATTCCTTGATAAAAGCATATTTGTAGTACTTTATTGACATAAATAGAACGAACAATTACAAAGTACTTGTACAAAAACTACATTATGTCACCTTGTTTTTCACAGACTTTCAATATTTTTAGATACCTTCCCTGCGGAATATTGGTCCAATGCAGGCTACCTCAAGTGATCATCTAGTACCCAATTTCCGGGCCCTCAGCCATCCCCCGCTTCACACCCGGCGGCCTTTCTTTTTTGGCTGTGCGATCTGATTTCGGGGGACTCTTCTGGGCAGCTTGCTCCTTGTCCCGCCCCCTTCCATCTGCCCTTCACTCTTCGACTTCTCCTGCTCCGGTCTCCGGTGCGGGGAAACACCGCCGCCCTTGGGGGGCCTTGTCCTGGGCGCTGCCAGCTGGCGGGCCGACAATGCCAAAGAGGCTGGCCTGCTTTCCTCTCCGACAACAAGGCAAGTATCTTCCGCCGGGAATCCTTCCTGTCTCCCCGTGTCATTACACAGGCTCGGTTCACTAGTGCTTTGCCTGTCCACGCCTCTCCCGGACTCCGACCATTCTGTCCAGCATCCTTGTGTGGCTGCTTTCACGCCCACCATCCCCTTTTCTCCCGTCACCGTGCCTCTCAGCCGCCCTCAGTGGCCCAGTCACTCGAGATCCCAGCCCCTCGGGGCCCTTTCCCCGAGGCATGACACCTTCATCCCTGCCGGTCTTTTCCCACGTCCAAATCTTCTCACTCCAGGGTGAGCTTCCTTTCCTCCCCCTCATTCAGAGTGGGAACGCCCGCCTGGAGCAAATGTGCGGGTCCCCCCCTCTGAGATAGCAGTCTGCTTGTGTGGGTCCTCGCCTGGAATCTGATCCGGCACCTCTCGCCTCCGCTGGTCCCCTCCTCTCCGGCCCCGAGAGGTCTCCCCCCCAAAGAGATGGGTGTCTGCCAGGATGCCCGCTTGATGTGCCATTTATTGGCGGTCCTGTGCCGGGGCGAAGTGGCGAGCACTTGCCGGTGCCCGGGGGGCCACCGGGGCCGGGGGCTTGGCCACGGCTGCCGTGGCCCAGCCGGCATACATGTTCATGGCCGCGCCCAGCTGACGCGAGCGCTCCTGCTCGGCCTGGCTGGCAAGCGCGGCCTTGGCGGCGCGGTTGTCCGACACACGGCGAACTGGCGCGGGCCGGGGAGCACGGCGGGCGGCCGCCTGGGCGGCCATCTGCGCCGCGGCCAGGGTCTTTGCCGAGAAGGTGGCCACCGAAAAGCCGGACTGGGCCGGGGCGTCACGGCGCCGGCGCCGAGCACTCCGATCACGATCCTCGCGCAAACGCTCGATGTCCTTCTCACTGAGGATCTCCACCGAGGGGGCCCACTCGCCGGAGGATGCCTCATTTTCCGTGCGCACCGACGCGAAGGAACTCAGCAGGAGGCTGACATCCGAGGGAAGCCCGCTCTCCGCGAGGTGGCTGGTGTTCTGCATGCGCGGGAGAAGGGGGGATAGAGGAACAGGGCGGGGGAGCCCATAGGCATCGGTTAGGAGATGGCCAAGAGAAAAGGAAACACCGGCAAGTCGGCTCCCTGCCCGGGCAACGCACAATCCCATAGCCGAGCTTGATGCGGAAAAACCGGAACACCTGCTCATAAATGTGGAAGGCAATCTCGTTGACAAACTCCCCGCCAAGACCTGACGGGAGGGGGGGGGGCAAGCCAAAGGGCCCCGGCGTTAGATGCAAAGACACCCATCGGGGCAGGTGCGCGAGAGGCCGGCAGGGGGACGCACCCAGATCGGCGCACATCTGCTGGGCGAAGGTCACCGGCGAGATGTACGCCGTGGAGCTCGGGTCTTGGTGGGCCTCGAGCGGCGCACACCGAAGCCCGGTCGCCTGGCAATAGAAGCCAACCGGGTCCCACACAAAGCGGTCCTTGAGGGCGATACTGCCGACAATCATGTCAAGCTGGGCACAGAAGGCGAGCAACACGGTCAGTCCCCCCGGCGCCGACACCACCAGGTGCCTGTTGCGGCTGCGGCAGGGCAGGCGGGCGCACATTGATCAGGACCCCTTCCGGGTTCTTTTGGAAGTAGTTCTCCAGGTACTGCCGAACCGGGTCACTCCGGAGGTAGGTGACAAACTGCCGGTAGGCATCAATCTGCAGGGCCAGCGCCTCGGTCACGAGCACCTGCAAGTAGGCCTGGTGTTGCGGCTGGAGACAGAGGTCCTCCAGCAGCTGGGCCGCAAACTCGCGTGGCTCGATGACGGTCTCTGGGGAGGGGCGTCGGCCCCCGGGTTCACACCGGCAGACGGGCCGCCAGCAGGGAGGGGGGGGGGGCATTATGACTGTTCAGCAGGGGGTCCCAGCGGGGAAGAAGGAGGAGGGAAGAAGATGGCAGGCGCACCTTCGAGATTCCACAGAATGGAGTCCCGCAGCCGGAAATGCTCGTAGTCGATGTCCAAACGCAGAGGAACCGTGGCCTCCCCGGGCGCGGGAGTGCCGGCTGCCCGGGCCGAGCGCTCCCAACTGCACAGGCCCATGGGGCACACACGTACATGCACACGCACATGCACAAGCAAGCCCCGTCAGAGAAACAAGAGCAAGGGAAGGCCAAGGGGGGGGGGGGGGGGGGGGGGTGACAAATCACGCACAGGGCGCCGGCCAGGAAGTGCCGGGCCAGGACGCGGCGCTTTCGCCCGCCAGCCTGGTACGCAGCATAAAGGTTGGCCGAGCCGGGCCGGTCGCCGGCGTCGCCGGCCAGGTGCATTTCGTCATCATCGTCCGAGGGATCCTCGCTGGTCCGGGCCCGGCAGAAGGTCAGAAAGGATCGGGGCATGGCTGAGGCCGCCGCCCGCCGGAAGGTGCGGCCACGGCAGAAAAGGAAAGGAAGAACACACCGATAGGCTCGGCGCGAGGCGGCCCGGCGCGAGGAGAGCCCGCCGCCGGTGCTCGGCGGGGGCTGTGCCGAGGATTCCGGCGTCGCGCCGGTCATCAAGGCCACGCTGCTGCCGATGATGGTGTTCGAACTGACCGACGCCGCCAGCTTGGCCACGGCGTTGACGCCACCGGTGGCATGCTCCGGCGCCAGCGTCCCCAGAACCGGGGCGTCCGGGCAGGACAGGACCGGCGCCACGCCCAAGGCGTCAAGCGCCTCGGCCGGCGCCAGGCCATCCACGAACTGGGCCAGCAGGGCCCGCTCTTCCGGGGAGTCTGCGATTTCGGTCAAGGTCAGTGCACATCCCACGGGCAAGTGGCCTGGGTAAAATAGGCAAGCCAGGAGGCCGAGACATACGAGGGACAATGTGTGTGGTGACCTCCAGCCCGAGATCCGGGTGGAGGACCGACTGGTGCCCTGGCATGCCTGCAGACAGTCGCGGGTGGTAGAATCAAACCGACCGGGTCGGGGGGCGGGGCGAGCGAAAGAGCAGAAACGAGGGGTTGGAGAATGGGAGGGGGGGGGAAATGAAGCGGGATGATCGGGGCCATCCGGGCGATGGGCACACGCCGGGCGGGGCGCTTTTCACCAGGGCAGCGGGGCTGCAACGGCGAATGGAAGTCATGTGACTCGACATTGTTTCGTGGTTTGTGCCTCCCTCTCCTGTCCGGCTCGGGGGGGGGCAGCTGTCTAGTGCGAGTCCCTTGTCAATCGGGGGACGTGCCTTGACCGGGTTCCCACTTTCGGCGGACCTGGCGGACAGGCAGGCGGAAGATTCATCGGGGACCTGCGCCCCTCTGGTGGGTGCCAACCGGGAGTGGCAGGTATCCTCCTTTCTCTCCATTCTCTCCTCCTCTTCGGCCTCCCCTCCCCCTCCCCCGCCCTCGGCCTTCCCCTTTGCCATGTCTACCAGCTCCGCCCTCGCCAACACCGCCCGCTCGCTCGGTCGCTTCATCGACGCCTCGCCGTCGCCGTTCCATGCTGTGCAGACGGTTGTCAAGCGCCTGGAGGCGGCCGGCTTCACGCGCCTGCGCGAGTGCGATCCCTGGTCGCCCTCGGCCGCTGCCCCGATGGAAATCACCCCTGGTGGTCGATACTTTGTTGTGCGCAATGGCAGTGCCATTGTGGCCTTCGCCGCTGGCCAGGTGCGCCTCCCGCCTGCTCGCCTGCTCTGAGTCTATTCCTGGCCGTGTGTGCACTCCGCACACTGCGCGTCCTTCCCCTCGCGCTCGCGGACGCTAGCTCCAGGGCCCCGCATTCGCCCCTCCCACCTGGCTGACCTTCGCCCTCAGAGTGCCACCTCCGGCTTCCACATTGTCGGCACCCACACCGACAGCCCCTGCCCGCGGATTCGCGCCCGGTCGACCCTCGCCTCGCAGGGCTACGTCCAGGTCGGCGTGGAGACCTACGGCGGTGGGCTTTGGCACACCTGGTTTGATCGCGACCTGACCGTCGCCGGCCAGGTTGTCCTGAACGATGGATCCTCGCACCTGGTGCACTTTGACAAGTGCGCTGCTTTTTGCCGGATGCACAGTGCCCCCCTTTTGGAAGATGGACATCCCCGAGTCTGACCCCCCACACCGATGCATGCGTGCACCCGTGCACATGTGTGTCTCCCCCTTGCGCCCTCCTCCCCGAATGGCAGGCCCCTGCTACGCATCCCCACGCTGGCCATCCACCTGGACCGCGAGGTGAGCTCCAAGGGGTTCCAGCCCAACTTCGAGGAGCACCTGCAGCCGATGCTCGGCCTGGCCAAGACCCCCTCCTTCGCTGAGAATCCGGCCTCCGGAAACCCGGCCGACGTGACCGCACGCCATGAGCCGGCCCTGCTGCGCATGATCGCCGAGCAAATCAGCACGACGGCCGCCCGGTCGGTGTCCGCGGCCGACATCGCCGAGCTGGAGCTCTGCCTGGCCGACACCCAGCCAGCCTCCACCGGCGGCCTGGACGAGGCGTTCCTCTTTGCCCCGCGTCTGGACAACCTGGCTTCCTGCTATGCCGGGCTGGAGGGCCTGCTCGGTGCCCTGGATGCCCCGGCCCCGGCGGCGGCCGACCGCGATGTCACCCGTGTTCTGGCCATGTTCGACCACGAGGAGGTCGGCTCGACGTCGACCGTCGGCGCCGACAGCACCTACCTGTCGTCAATCCTCCGGCGCATCACCGGGGCCCTGGCCCGGCACCAGGCGGCCGCCGACGCGACCGCCCCCGTCCCCCCGGCCGAGGAGCTCTTCGCCATGGCCGTGGCCCGGTCCTTCGTGGTGTCGGCCGACATGGCGCACGCCGTGCACCCGAACTACTCCGGCAAGCATGCCCAGAGCGGCCTGCGCCCGGCCATGAATGCCGGCATCGTCATCAAGTACAATGGCAACCAGCGCTACGCCACCAACGGCACCACGGCCCAGTTCATTCGGGCCATTGCCCGCCGGGGGGATGTCCCCGTGCAGGAGGTGCGCCGCGCATGTCTGCCATCTTTACCCTCTTCCTGCCGTGTCCCCCGTGGCCTGGCCATTTGCGCCGGGCCCGCTTGGCGCCTTGTTTTCTTTGTTTTCCCTTTTCCCTCCCTCTGACACATGCCCCCCCCCCCCCCCCCCTCCCCCTACCAGGTGGCCGTGCGCAATGACTCCCCCTGCGGCTCGACCATCGGGCCCATCTGCACCTCGCAGACCGGCATCGCCACGGCCGACATCGGCATCCCGCAGCTCAGCATGCACAGCATCCGCGAGGTGTGCGGCGCGTATGACGTGGAGAACTACGTCCAGTTCATGAAGGCCTTCTATGCCGGGGGTATCCCGGAGTAAGGCCCTGCCGAGGGCCGAGGGGAGCATCCCCATGCGCCGATGGCTGCCGCCTTCCCGTCCGCCCGGTGCGGCATTCGTCCAATACACCTGTCACCACCAGGCAAAAAGGCAGACGCGTCCTCCCGGGACTAAGCGGCGCCGATGGCCGGGCCCCTCCCGCCGCGCCAGCGGAACAGGGGGCGGACACCGGGCCAAAGAAAGCCCCCTGCTGCTGGGCAGGAGGTGAAGGGGAGGAGGAGGGCAGCTCTTGGTCTATTTTTCGGCCCTGGCCCAACCCAGGGCGTAGGAGAGGGGGGTATATGGGGGGAAGAAGCCAGGCGAAGGGCAGGCCGCCCCAGGGGGTGAGTTCGCATGTGCGCGCAAGGGTGCACGCCGGCTACCGCTCGGCCGAGGTGATGCCATGAGGATTGGGATTGAGCTCGACATTGACCGAGCGCATGGAGTCCACAATCCACTGGGGGTAGGGCGAGTGGGCAAACATGGTCGACATGAAGGTCCGCACGAATGCCGGGAACCTGGCCCGCCAGAGGGGGAGGAAAGGCGCGGAAAGACCGACCGAAGGTGTGAGAAAACGCCGGCATCGGAGTGGGGCAGAGACAAAGTGGCCAGCAGACAGCCCCACCGGCTCGGGGAGGCGGCCGGAGGACAGGCAACAACGAAGGGACAAAGGGGCGGGGGGGGGGGGGGGGGGGGGGGAAGAAGCAATCTGCCACACGCACTCATCGGCGATGATGGCATCGCGCATGCGGGTCATCAGCCGCAGCTGGTACGCCACATTGTGGATGGACAGCAGATGGCAGACCACGGTCTCCTGGCCGAGGATGCTGTGGAGGTAGGCGCGCGAATACGTCCGGCAGGTCATGCATGGACAGTCGGCGTCAATGGGCTGCAGGTCCGTGGCATACTTCGAGTGCTTGAGCTGCATGTTCCCGGCGTCGGTGAGCGCCGTCCCAAAGCGGGCCGTGCGCGTGGGATACACACAATCGAACATGTCCACACCGAGGGCCGTGCACACGACCAGGTCAATGGCAAACCCGACGCCCATGCAGTAGATGGGCTTGTTTTCCGGCAGCAGGGGGGCCGTGTGGGCCACCGTCCGCCAGAAAGCATCCTTGGCCTCGCCGCCGCTGAGCCCGCCGATGGCGTAGCCCGGCGTGTTGCGCTTGACCATCTCCCGCACGCAGATCGTCCGCAAGTCGGCATCCAGGCCGCCCTGGATGATGGCGAAGATGTTCTGGTCGGTGGCTCGGCCGTGGGCCATGATGCACCGGTCCAGCCAGCGAATCGACCGGTACATGGCCTCCTCCACGCGCTTGCCAGTGACCGTGGAGCTGATCACATCGTCCAGTTGCTGCGGGGGGGCGTACAGGGGGGGGGCGGGGCCGCAAGCCGGAGGGCAGGGAACAAGAGTCAGTCAAAGGTGGGGCAGTCTCACAGAAAGAGGGCCGGGCAGGGGGGGGGGCGGGCCAACTTGATAAGGCAGTCGGCAGGCTGGACGACGCACCATCAGGATGTCGGCGCCGATGCCATTCTGGATTTCCACCGACTTCTCCGGGGTCAGGAGCATCTCCGACCCGTCGTGCGGCGACTCGAAGAGGACACCCTCCTCGGTGACACGAGCGAACTTCAGCAGCGACACCATCTGGAAGCCGCCGGAGTCCTGAGGTGCAAGGGGACGGGGACCGGAACGGGGGACATGAGTGAGCGACGACCGAATGCCCAAAGAAGGAAGGAGGGCACGAGGGCTGGCATGGCCAAGGACGCACCGTGAGCAGGGCGCGGTTCCAGTTCTGGAATTTGTGGAGACCGCCCATCTCCTTCATCACCTCCTCGCCCTGCGGTGCCAGGTTAGCGGGGGGTCATGCATGTGTGTGTGGGGGGGGGGGGGAGGCATGCGTTAGGGAAAGTCCCGGCGAGGCCAAAAGGAAGAGGAGGAGACAGGGCACCCAGCCAGGGGGCGCGTCGACGCACCGGCCGGTTGCCGAGGTGGTAGGTGTTGCCAAGCATGATGCGACAGTCCAGGTCCTCCAGCTGCTTGGTGGAGATGCCCTTCAGAGTGCCCTGGAGACAGGGCGAGAGGCGGATCGGCAAAGCCCCATCGGGAGGTCGGTGCAAAGGAAATCAGCAAGGTGAGAAGGGAGGGTGGGGGAGGGGGCGGGAGGGTGGGGGAGGGTAGGAGAGGGAAGTGGGAGGAGGAAGTGGGAGGGGGAGGAGAAGGTAAAGAAGGAGAAGGAAAAGGAAAAGAAGAAAGAATGAGAAGGAGAAGGAAAAGAAGAAGAGGGAGAAGAGGTCACATACCTGTGTACCAACCGGCATAAACACCGGGGTTAGGACGTCCGCATGCGGGAGGGACAGGACAGACGCGCGCGCGCGTGTGGTCGAGCACTTCGCCACAAGCTTGAATTCCAGCGCGGTGGTCGTCATGCGAACCGGCGTCGGAACCAGCTCGGTCTCCGCGATCGGCGGCATGTTCGAGTCGGCCAGAGTCGCCTCATCGATCGGCTCGTAGTTCAGCTGCGTCATGGTGACAGGAGGGCGAAGGGCCGGCGAGGAGAAAAACCGCGACGAGGCAGGCGCGACGGTGACGGCGGCGGGGGCGGCGGGGGTGGCGACTAGGCTGTGGCGAGCAAGCGACGAAGGACGGGCGAGCGATGGAAGACGGGCGATCCGCGTACAGCGGCGCGAGAGGAGCCCGAGAATCTTGGCAGCAGGGGGGCAGGGCCTCCGGGCGCGGCACTTAGGGGCGGTGGGGGGAGGGGCGAAAGGGCGGAGGGGCGAAATGGGTGGGGACAGAGGTGCTGTGCTTGACCACAGCCCGGCACAGGCTGGCCCAAGCCGACGCCACTTGAATTTGGAGACGCGCAGGCCCCCATGGCAGTGGGCCGGCGAGGCGCCCACGGCGAAAACCGGCGACGCGGAAAGTGCTCCCCCGCCCCC